GTCAACTATCACGCGATAGAAATCTCGAGCTCATAATTTAATTGTTTAATGGAAGTAGGGGCATCTCCTTTGAGGAAAAAGATATTTAGTTGTACATGTAGCATTCTGATGGATGTTTTATAATTCTTTTTTCAGAAGAAACAACCTGGACTTGTACAGTTTGTACATTTGCAAATCATGAGGCTTTGGAAGTTTGCGAAATGTGTGACATGCCAAGGAACCGGGCCTTGGAGGCTCGAGCGTGACTCAAGCGTGACTCGAGGACGATTTTGAACGTGACTCGAGCGTGACTGTTCGAACAGGAAACTTTGGCAGGATCAGAGTTTGACGCAGCTCTATCATAAGTTATTAATTACGAAGACACAATACAAGCACAGTCTTGGAAAAATCCAAAAGGCATAAACGTACTAGTTGTTATTGTTACAAATGATAACGTTTTTCCTACTTGTATGGCAGTTTTACTGTAAACGTGGCAGCAAAACTAAGAAAATATCGAAATTAAGTGATTTATTTTTCTCTTGGGAAAGCATAGTCCCAGGAAAGCTCAATGACATGTTGGTTTATCACCTTAAAGGATGACAGAGTATTGTTAAAAGTAAAACCATTGATGTTTGAGGTGACTGTGAATGTTGTAGCGGTGTCATTTATTGACTGTACTGACATTGAGGGAGGTGTGTTGGGCTGAAGGTTTTTGCGTTTGACGCTAGATCGAGATGTCTTGGTTCAATCGTTGGACCTGTGTCATGTATTCGCCCAGTGTCCCTCCCCTCCCTGGCTGGTCCGAATGGAAACTTTGAGTTCTGTTTCACGAGACCTTTGACGCACCGCTTACTCAAAACTCACCCTTTCCGTGGAGGCCAGCAACCAAAGGATACGCTGCAAGATTTATCTACTTACTCCTAATCTTTTTTTTTGGTATGCCTTAGCCTGCAAAGCAAGCGTTCTCGTACGAGGATTTTTTTTTTTCCGCCCCTGCTTTAGGCTCGATTACCAGCCGCTGTCCAGACACGAGAGAGCGGCTGAAATCGAGCCCACCCCTGCTTGATCGATTGTTTTGCTCGCGCTCCGATTTGTGCGGCCAGAATGCGGAAAAGGCTTTTCATNCCAGCCGCTGTCCAGACACGAGAGAGCGGCTGAAATCGAGCCCACCCCTGCTTGATCGATTGTTTTGCTCGCGCTCCGATTTGTGCGGCCAGAATGCGGAAAAGGCTTTTCATAGGGAAACGCTTGCTACGTAGGCTTGGTACGCTTCGGCGGCATATCTGGCGAGTTTTGTCAAACCACGGCGAGGCCAAACGATCCTGGTATGCTGCGATACCAAGTCACTGACCTGATATGGCCACGATATCATGGTCACTTGGCCGAAATACCTAACGGTACCTTTTTGGTACGGATCAGTGGCATATCAGGCGAGTTTGGTCTCATCATGGGCATTTTGTCTCGACTACGTCTCGTTAAATACAAGCCAGGGCTCGACCATACTCATATTCCGCCGAAGCGTACCAGAAAGGTTCGTACCAACAAAGGAACTCTTAGGAATTTATAACCTGCGATCATACCCTCCCTTTTATTCCAGAAATTTGGAAACTCTGCCTCTATTTTGGCCCAAAAAAGGTTTCAGGACTGCTGGCATACGTCGCGCAGTTCACAAGCGTCTGCCAGTTTGGTTTTATTTTAGCTGTAGCTGGGTCTTACGTGCTGATAGGGAATAGTTCAAGTGATGCTTGACGGGAAGTAGCTTGACTGATTTCATTTTGCATTTGAAACAATATTTAAGAAATAGAAAACGTGTACCGTGTTTCTATCGATTTATAGTATAAATCTACTGGCGTTCTTTGATTGGCGACGCTGCTCACTATCTATGATAGACAGTCAGTCTATAAGCGTTCAATTAGATTATTCGCTCTCGATTGTCGAGAGCTGCGCCCTCGTCAACTATCACGCGATGGAAATATCGAGCTCATAATCTAATTGTTTAATAGATTTGGAAGAACGAAAAATGCTGTGGGAATGCAAGCCGACAGGCGGCTGTTTGCACAGCTCTTTCGAGTTCTTTCAAACTTCCACGAGTGTTTCTATAACTCGATAGAAACAAGGAGAACACGTTTCCTATTTCTTTTAGAAAATTCCGCAACGAAAGAAAGGAAACAACTTGTTTACTTTGATCATCAAAATGTAAATTCCCTTTGCTCGCACCAGCATTACGTCAACCGGTATTCCTCGCTGAGCCTCGACATCCATTGATTTTGAGGGGAATTGTTCCATAAACCCGTATACGAGGGAGAATACGCTTGATATGATTATTCTGATGAAATAAATAGGTCTTTTACAGAAAACAATGGCCTCCACCAAGTCAATGACCATAGGGGGTTGGAACTGATTTTTTCCTTGCCTCGGTTCTGGGTTCCAAAACACAAATAAGCTACGGGAGCCCTAGCTTGTTTTGAATTCCCTTTCTAACACGATTGCCCTTAACCCTTCTCGGTAAAAATTGTTAAAAACTTGATAGACAAAAGAGGTTTTTCCAACTTGTACAGACTCCTCCCTCTTTGGTAGCGCATATGGGTAGCGGGAACCGAACCGAAATTAAAAATTTTAATTTCAACTTCGGGTGCAAGATTACCTTTTCTCTCGGACATGGGTTGAGCGCTGAGCACTCTCTTCGATGTGTTCCCGTCATACCATCCTTCCAGGTTTTAAATTTTCGCGATAACTTCGCGCGTTTGGCTGGAAACATGCGAAACACGCGATACAAACATGAGAAGCCTGAGGCAGCCATGTTGAGCTCGATTTCCTGACTTAGCCTGCGAGCAGGCTCTTCGCATGGCATGAAAGAAGGAGAGGAAAGGGAAAATGTGGACGTACCGATTCAAAATTTAAAGTGGTGTGGTCAAGTTCTTCTTCCCCTTTCCTCTTCTTCTTTCTTGCCACGCGAAGAGCCTGCTCGCAGGCAATCCGGGCTCGGAGAAACTAGCTCGAGCGGGAATGGTCGAACGGAACGGAATTTTCCGGATATTCCGATTTTCCGGAATTTTAGGCCATCAAATGAAATTCCGCAGCCGTTTTTTGGAATGTCACGCAACGCTCCCGTGACATCCCAAAAAACGGCTGTGGAGGAGACTAATGAAATTGTGGAAAAAGTCCGTTCCATTCGCTTCCCCACCCGGAATTTCCGGAATACTGTCAATGGAGCGCCCCAGGATACCTTGCGCGCGTGACGTTCATCTCTTGGTTCTCTTTTCGTACCCTTTTCGTACTGCACTGTACTGTGACGAGCGGGGTGATGGTAAGTACGCTTTTCTTTTGCATTGAGTGGAAGAATAGGTGCTTTCCAGGTAGTTCGGGCAATAATCCAGTCCACGGTACTTTGGAAAGGTTGCTGGAGAGAACTTCAGCTCTCTTTAACTACTACATTGCTTATGCATAATGAGTTGGCGATGCCACGGCATGCAGACGCGGCCAGAGTTTCACTGCAGCTGTGAACAACTTTAACTTGGAGCCTGCTGTATGCCGAATGGAGTTTTGAATTCTTCCGTTATTACCTTTTATTCTTTCATTCCTTTAAGCAAAATGCTAGTAAATTTTGATGGGTGATCATGAATCAGTATATGACTCAGCGGATTTTTTATCCTTCGAGTTATTGCACGACACATGGATCGAGCTCAAGAAGTAAAATTCTGAAAGTTATAAGCCGACCTCTCCAAGTCCCACCCACAAGTCTTCTACGTGTCCTCTAAGATGTAGATTACAGAAAATGACAGTGATAATATGCAAACTGGGTTTGGCTACACAGAACGGAGGGGGACATGGGGATTTGCGGTGTTGCGGTGTTGATGTTTTTTCGATGCGGTGAATAAAATCTCAATTTGCGGTGTTGCGGTGATCTCAAACCCTACGGTGTGCGATGTTTGTGTTTTTCAGGCTGCGGTGTTCGGTGAAATGAAATTGTTTGCGGTGCTAAGTTTTTTTGATCTACCTTTCTCAAACCTAAATTTGACCTAAAATTGGGTAAGTAAACTTCGTTAATCGATGCTAATTTATGACAAACACGTACCATTGAGGTAAATAATTTGTAAAAAAGACAGACCATCACTTTCTATAGACCGTTCGCGTTTTTACGATAGGTCTTCCCTTGATACTATAAACGCCAAGATGGCGGCTGCTAGGAGCTTCGGGTCTCCAGTCTTTGTGGCGTTTACTGTGGTATTTTGTCATCTTATATTTTCTGACCTACACCAACAGCTCACTAAGATCACTGCACGGCCATTTATGGAAAACCAGACTCCTCCATCATCGTGCTCTGAGCGAAA